TTTTCACATCTTTATTCCTCTACATTCTAAAATGTGTTAATCTTTTTTTAAATATATGACTTTGTGTGGATATATCTATTTTAAATAACAGTGCCAGGATAGTTAAGTCATCATGAAATAGGTAAATTTCCAGTTATGCCACAAAGTAAACATTTCAGAAATGATAGTTTCCATATCCTTTAATTCTGTACAATTTCAATCTTATTCTCTAGCAATTCTGCCAAATGAACTGTCTGTAAAAAAAAAAAAAGAAAACAAAAAGAAAAAAGAAAGAAAGAAATGAAAAAAGCTAAAAACTACTGGTATAGAACTCCAAATACTCAAAAAAAAAAAAAAAAAAAAAGCAAGGAAACAGAGAAACTAATAAACCTCGTAGTTTAAACTGAGGATACTAAAGCAATCTATTCATTTCTACAACATAATTTTAATTAATTTTTTTCCTCAGTGAAGTAATGATACATGCAGTCTTCCAATAATTACTAAGGGGGCAGGGAGTGAATAATATAAATGTAGTTCAAAAGGAAATACATTGATTTTCCTTTTCTCAACATAATTGTCACGTAAGTGGGCCCTAAGCTATGATGTAGGCAATAGCCACAGCTTATTGTAAGCAAGCTCACAGTTCCTTAAGTCCATTTTCACATATCCTAATAAAAGAATAAAATATTTAACATGGTGATAAAGCTCAGCTTTCTTCCACCTCTTCTTGACAATAATTCTATGGTTCAATATACGGTACATTTTTGCTTGAAGGGGATGAAGCATTATTCTTTTCTAGTGATATTAATCTATTTTGCTATCTTAGTGGGGATACATTAACCAGACCGAACTCTGAACACGTTTTTATTTCTTACCACAAAAAAGGCAGCCAGATAGCTCATTAAAATATATCAATGAATAATAACTTCTTCCTTTAAATGAACTAATATCTAAGTTTAATGAAGCTCAGTTTATAGTGATTTTCTGGCTGAAGTGCTCCTCTCTCTGCCTAATTATGTGCACAGTTTTCAGACAACAAGGAGTGTCTTTAACATTAGATAAGAACCTGGGCTTTTATCTCAATCAATAGTCTTTAGCCTTTGAACTCATGTCAGTGGAAGACCAGTCCGTCACGTTCAGTTCTACCTGACCTCTTTTTCTTCTTGATGCATGCTGCCATTTATAAAAGACTCTCTCTCTCTCTCTCTCTCTCTCTCTCTCTCTCTCTCTCTCTCTCTCTCTCTCTCTGACATACTCATACACACCCATGCACACACCTAAGATATAAGCAGGCAAAGTGTTTAGATTGTTTGTGTGTCCATGTGTGCATGTGCATGCGCAGAAGCATGTGTGGACAGGATCTTTATAGCTGTAAAGATGTGTGACTGTAATGATGATGTTAAAATTTTCTTGTTTCCTTTCACTGGGCTTTGTGTATCTCAAAGGAGCCCCATATGGTGCTCTTTGTCCGTGTCATTACCTCGTTACAGCCACTGTCTGCCAGCCAAAGGTAGACCGAGTGCTGCAGCTGTAGACAGCGATACAACTGGAATTGTCTAAGGTCAACAGTGCCGTAATTACTTTAAAATGTCAGCGTACAATAAAATACAACAGTTCATCTGGCAGAAAGCAAATTAGCTTTGACCATAGCGTAATTACCCTTTTCTCAGCACCATTAGAAGAGATCAAATCTCCACATTCAGTGTTTGAGGAAAGGCCATCAGAGTACACTCTACCTGACAAGGATGCACATTTGCCATTTTGAGATGTAATTAATTGTCCCTATAATAGAAATTTTTATATTTGACTCTGGAATTGAAATGTGTAATAACCTGGCTTCTTCGTTTTAACCATTTTGATGCTGGGGGGGAGAAAGATATGTTTTGTCAAGTACAAATAGGTAGTATCAGTATCATTCAGAACATACATATATATTTTTTATTTTGATAGCAATTAGTTCCACTGCAGAAGTAATTGTTCTGAAGTGACTACCACATGAATTAAGAATGATACTAATGTCTAGATCCTACTCCAGAGGAAGCAAATTAAGAAATTAACATCATTACACTCTTCCCGTCATAGCTTCTTTTTCTTCTTTGCATGTGTATTTCCTGTCAGACTGCGATAATGTGACCTGAAGTGGTTTTCAGATGTATTAAAGTTGTTTCCGCCACTGATCTTCATCTACACCTCTACTTCACACGAGGGCAATCTAGGCAAAAGAGCACCCCCTCCTCCACCCCTGCAGGCTTAATATGCCATTATGCCAAGAACATCCGCTTTTTTCCCAAAGACATCATTAATGGTAGAGGGTATGAATGCAACAATGATATAGTAATTGGATTAACTCGGAAACAAACAGCAAGGAGCTGACCAGTGACTGTCCCTGAAGGGCAAAGTCTCCAATGCTCTTGTTGACTTTCATTAATATTTAAGGGCACCAAATGTATTTTAAACGGATTTGAAATGACCAAAGTTGTCTGAGTAGCATTTTTCTTCGTGCCCAGTTGAAGACACACATGAAACAGCTGTTTTGTATAACAAGAACCTTGCACTATATTTAGGGAATTCCAGCACTATAAAGATGTTTACATTTTCTTGATGTTTCCTTCACTGTGTTGTGGGCTTTTTCATAGTTTTTCAAACAAAAAGTATTCCCCTGGGTTCAGAAACCTCCCTTCTGAGCATAGATTTCCTGTATGGGGGTTGGGGGGGTCCCTATCTAGACAACCAATAAGAAGCTTCATAGTTGGGAAGAAAATTCTTAACATGACCCCTTCTAATTGAACCATTGCTAGTTTTAATGTGCTAAAGCCAAAGCAATAAACAATCTTTCTGGCAAAACCACTGTAGCATATCATCGATCAGTTTCTCTCTTCAGAGCAGAAAATTATGGAACATACTGGGTTTGCTCCCCAACTGTTAAGTGGCTTTGTTCTTCTGCAATGTCATTTGCAGCTCTCATTTCACAGTATAAGATATAATAAAGGCTGGGAAACATTTTAAAAGAGAAATAAATGGTTAGCTAAATCTTTTAAATAGATGTGAACATTTAGGAAGATAGAAAACTCTTTTTTTGAAGGCCATCTATTCCTAGATTAAATCAAGATGCCCATGAATATATTTAATGGGTGATTTATAGAATTCAGGGAAGTAAATATCACATGGTAAGCTTGGAAAGGACCTAGCTGGACTGATGCTTTTAAATTGGCAAGACTGACCAAACTAACCTGCAGCTGCCCGTGGATGGCATAAATGATTTGCTGTTTTTTTTTTTTAAAGTGAAGTGACTTGTTTTTCACATAGTAATACTTGGAAGAGCCCTTGGTGCCTACTCAGTCCTTCTCTGAAGCAGTCTGAGGCATACATTAGCCAGAATCCAAAGCCTTTCATGATTTTACCCAAATTCATCTTTGTCATTATCCTTTCCCAGTTCAAACTTTCTACTGTAGCTAAAGCATCCCCCCAGTTTCTGTGTGACCCACTATGTGCCTTTCTACCTATTTGCCTGGGATGTTCTCTCTACTCCTCACATTCTCCATAATAAGAGTTATATTCCACTGTCTCTCAGAAGTATGTCTGTTATGGTGTACATATATAACTATCATATTTTATCAATCAAAATTTTAAAAATAAATGGAGTACAGGAAACTTGTCAAAACTGTAAAGTTATTAATACATATATAAAATGGTTGAATATTTATTACACGTGTTGAAAAGAATTAAGAAAGATGTGAGATTCCTAAATCCAAATGAATATTTCCTCAAGCTCAACTTGTTTTCATTTGATTCAATGTCATAAAATAAATAACTCAAAGTGAGTCTACAAACACTAAAGTGATAGTAAAGCCAAGGCGATGTAAATCAGAAGCCAATATAGGTTGCTTTGCTAATATACATGGCATCTGGAAAATAATAAAAGTAAGCATTCTTGAAATGAAAAAAATAGACTTAACAAAAGATGTTTTAAAGACAATATAAAAAGATAGATACATCTTGCAAAAAGATTGAAATTAACATTATGTGTAACAGTTAGAGCTAACATGCTTCTTATGGAATTCAGTCTCATTACAGGAAGGTAAATAACTTTCATTCAAAAATGCATTTTTGTTTTACTCCATCAACTCAGCAACTAGTCATTTTAAAGGCATCCAATTATTTATCTGACATTTTCTTCACTTAGTTACTCAAATTGTTAAAAGTTATATCTTTATAATAAAATATTTGTTAAAAATATTGACTACTTTTTCATCCAAATTTTGACATCTGAAAACATTTCTTTTTTAAATAACTGAAATCGTTAAATCTTTCTTCATTTAAACTGCAGTAGAACTGGATATTCCAGGCCTGGTACTAAGCTTCAGATTACACCAAGGCAGGTTTATCATGAAGAATTCAAGTTGTTTTAATTTATGTATACTATCTTTCCATAGAAACCCTTATTTTGAAACTATTTAACTTTACATATATTTTTAGTTTTCCATCACTGTAACCAAAAAAACTTGAGAAAATTAATTTAAACGAGGAAAGGTTTCACTATTTCAGAGGTTTTTGTCCATAGACATTTAGCTCCATCATTGTGGGATGAGACCGAAGACATTTAGCTCCATCATGGTGGGAGCATGCAGTGGAGCAAAACTACACCCTTCATGGTGGCCAGAAGGAGAGAGAGAGAGAGAGAGAGAGAGAGAGAGAGAGAGGATCCAGGAATAAAAATGCATCCTACAAGGGCACAATCCTAGTGATCCACCTCTTCCAGTTAAGTCCCACATCCAAAAGTTTCCATTACCTTGCAGTATTGCCAGCAGCTGGGCCCCAACCTTCAACACATGAGTCTGTGGGATATTCCAGATCCAAACTACAACATAGTATGTTGAAAACTCAAATGCAGTTTTTTTTTTTTTTTTTTAATGCAAAAAGTGTTGAGTGTGCTGGAGCACCCCAACTAGCATTTAATGCACACTTATTAAACACTACAAGCACATCACACAATCCTAGGGCAACCACGAGCCACAAAGTACCTCTGATGCCACACAACTTCTCTTAGCCAAAGAGCAGATGTTGTTGTTATCCGTGGTTCTCTCCAGCAGACAGTTGGACATCAGAGAATTATGAAGTCGATCTGGGGATGGACAGCAAATGTGGCCAGTCTCACTGATGTCCTCAGAGAAAAGCTCTCAGATGAGGCAGGACAAGTGGTTTGTATACAGTTCCAAATTGGTGCTCATTGTTATCACACTCCAGCCATTATTCTGCCTGTCTCTAGATGATGGTCTTTATCAATTTCGTCCAGTTGTGACTAAGCATGCTTGTGACTGCTGTTCTTTTTCTTTTTTTTTTCTTTTTTGTTTTTGTTTTAATATTCTTTGAGAGAACTATTTCCTATCTTTACTTCTTTTGTTAAACCAAAAGCCTTCAACCCATTCTCAAATAATGTACTTCTATCTGTGGTCCACAGGAAATAAAAGGGTTATGATAACCCTTTGCTATAGTTTAAATGGGTCCCCCAAATTTTATGTGTTAGAAACTTAATCCCTAATGCAGTAGAGTTGGGAGATGAGGATTAATGGGAAGTTTTGAGGATTCCAGCCTCATGAAAGGGTTAATATCATCATTCCAAGATTGTGTTTGCTATGAAAATGAATTTGGCTTATTCTTGCCCTCTCTCACATGATCATTCCCTATGTGATGCCATTTTCCATGTTATGACACAGCAAGAAGGCCCTCCCTAGGTATGACCTCTTTACCTTGAGGTTCTCAGCCTCCAAAAACATGAACCCAATAAACCTATATCGTTTATAAATTACTCAGTCTGTGGTACTGTATTATAGCAACACAAAATGGACTGAGACATCCTCCAAACCAAAGTAACAGAAAATACACTTTTAAAAATTTTGAAAATCATGGTAATCAAACAACATGTGGCAGTGAGAGGCCAGAGAAAGAACAATAAAAAAGGATTAAAGAGACCAGTGTAAGATCACAGCACTAGGGAAGATGCTTGTTCCCACCATCTAGACTGAAACAACTCACGATTCATAGGGCACACAGAGGAACCTGGTGGAAGTCTGGCCTCAGTGAGGGGGATAGCTAACTCTAGACTAATCACTATTCAGTATCTGCCTTAAAAAACCCAAAAACTATAATAAAAGACTTGAAAGTATCAAACTCTTTCCATGTAAATTAATATTATTCCAAACAAAGCTCAAATATAATTTTACTATTATGAAATACCCAGCATGCAACTAGTAACAATGTTTTTCATCCAATAAAAGATCTCCAGGCACATAGACAAGCAAGAAAACAAGACACATAATGAATAATCAATTAATAAAATGTTACCCAGAATTGACACAACACTATAATGAGCAGAAAAGGGAAATAAAAAAGCTGTAATAGTTGTTTTTCATATGTGTAAAAAAGTTAAGTACAGGTAGAGGTATAAAATACATAAAATCACCTGCAACTAAACAAACCAACCAAATCAAACTTGTGGAGACCTAAGTTAAAATAACTGAGGTTAAAACAAATAAACAAAAAAAACAAACAAAGAATGTTGAAAAAGATTAGAGGCAAATCAAACTTTAGAAGAAATACCTAATGAAATTAAAAATTGAACAACAATAGTAATTCTCCAAAATGAAATATGCATATGAAAAATAGCTTTAAAAATAAAACTATATTCAAAAAAACTGTGAGATAACTTCAAGTGAGAAATAAACACACATGTGAGAACCCTAATTATAGGTATGGGGGGACATTTGCAGACATAATGGTTGAGAATTTGCCTAAGTGTATTAAAATTGTTAACTTGCAGATCTAAAATAGTTAAATAAACTTCAAGTACAAGAAAAGAAATATGAAGAAAACCACACTAAGAAATATCATAATAAAATTGCTAAGCACCAGTGAGAAAAGAAAAATATAAAAAGACTTAAAGAAAAGCACCAACAGAGCAACAAAGAAAAGGATGACAGAAGATTTCTTGTTAAAAATAATGCAAGCAAGAGGCTAGGGAATCATTATCTTTTAACTACTGACAAAGAAAAATACCATTGACAACCTAAAATTCTAGACACAGTGGAAATACATTAAAAGTAAAAAGCAAAATAAGATTTTTCAAAGATATAAAAGATAAAGAAATTCATCAACAGCGTACTTGCCCTGCAAATAATTGTAAAGAGTCTATTAGGCAATAAGAAAATAAGGGTCAGATGGAAATAAGAATCACCACAAAGAAATAAAGAATGCATGGAATTTTAACTACAAGTAAATGTACAAGATTTTTTTCTCAAAAGATTTTTCTTATCAGGAATTTCTTACCTAAGACTCTGAAAAAGGAAATTGACTGTTTAAATCAACAATGTATAACAATGTATAACAATGTACATAACAATGTATATGGGGGAATAGTTCATGTAAAAGCAAAATTTATAACAACAAAAGTAAGAACATCAAGAGGGCAGAGTGACAGGATAGTGTTGTAAGGTTCTTATACCAACCATGAGGTGACACAATATCAATTGACCTTAGAATGTAATAAATTAAAGATGTATACTAAAGCAAATTAAATTAACTAAATTAACAAAAGAAATCATAGGAAAAAACATCTCCCCAAAAGAAAATAGTGATAAAAATACTCAGTTCATTCTAATTAAGATAAAACTCAGAAAAAAAACAAAGTACAAATGAAAAAAATAGAAAAAGTAATAGTCTAAAACCAACTGTAAAATAATAGAAAATATATACAATTCTAATTCTAAAAAAAAAAACACATGTTAGAGTCTGTAAACAAGTCAAGATAGCTCCTGGCATTTTGCCAGAGGGAGTGGTTTGTGAAGTAACACCAGCGAGCCATGAAATATGGAGATTCCTTATTGGTTGACTGCTGTATCTAGTTTATGTTAATTAGATAAGCTGTGTGGAATGTATATATACCCCTCCTGTCCTACAATAAATGGCTCCCACTCCTGCTGTATCAATGTACACAAGTTGCTCGTCACCCCCCTGGTTATTTTGCTGCAGCCGGACTGCGCGGCAGATGGTGGCCCATAAGGGGAGCCTCGGGACACTCGGGGGTAAGTGATGAAAAAAAAAAAAAGCTGCCCGTCCATAGATAGGACGGGAGCAAATCTGCTCGTCCCTAGGCAGATAGGGCGAGAGGAAAAATGGCCATTTTGAGAAAATGGAGAAGATTGATACAGTATGTTTGTGTCTTGTTTTGTCTTGAAATGTCATATTGTCTTTGTGACGAAAATATGGAAGGGGTGAGAAGTAAATTACTAAGGGAAGAAGGCACCCCAATGGAACCAAGAGTAGTTAGGGCATGTGTTGATAAACGCCCAGGAACTCTAGTCAGAAAGAAAAAGAAAGTTCAGAAGAAGAAGGATTATCAGAAAAAAAGTTGCAGCAAAAGGCTATTACTGAATACTTTTCGTTACTGGAGGGTGCGAGAATTGGCGTGGCAGCTGCACGCACAAGCCGGTAATGGTACAGCAAGGAGTTTCCAAGCCGGCTCCCCGCCCCCGCTCTCCCCCCCCCCCCCCCCCCCCCCCCCCCCCCGCGCCGCCCGGGGAGCGGGATGCAGGACGCCGCTGCTAGAGCCCAAATCCAAACCTGACCCAGAGGCACAGTCTCCAGGCTCTTGCTCCCTGTGCCCAGTGACAGTTGAGTTGGGAACACTCCCCGGGCCATCTGGGGCTGCCAAGGACGCTGCAGGCGGAAGATGGCCCCCGTCCCTGAAGTTTGATCATTTCCAAGGCCAATAACTAAACTACAATGGTTCTCCCACACCTGGAAGCTAATGAGTAATGAGCACTATTAAGGCTTATTTCAAATGTAAAAAACCTTGAGATAATGTACTAAATTGTTCAGAAGGTTGTTTTCTTAGTGGAATGCTACAGGATTTTCTTTAGCCATCCGGAGTTCCTGCCTTCGTCCCAGTGCCAGCCAGTGAAGAGGAAGGTGGAAGAATTTCCAGTGTTGCTGAGAATCAGAGGAGACTTCAGATCAAGCTAGATGCCTGCAGAACTTACCTGGACTGTGATTTACCTGGACTGTGAGTTAATTTCTTGAGACACTGCTTTACCTGGACTGAGACAACAAACTGTAATCTACAACAAATTGTAACTTGGTATCTTTGCTAACAGTGTCATTGCTGGTATAATTTTTCCAAGGGCTTCTTGCATGGAGCCATCAATTGGCTTGGTATTGTGGCGTTTTGTATCCTCCCCTTCTGCTTGTAGCAGATTGTTTGTGGTGTTTGTGTAAAAACCACTATGGTCGTTATTTAAATTGAACAAAAGGGGGAAATGTTAGAGTCTGTAAACAAGTCAAGATGGTGCCTGGCATTTTGCCAGAGGGAATGGTTTGTGAAATAATGCCAGCGAGCCATGAAGTGTGGAGATTCCTTATTGGTTGACTGCTGTATCTAGTTTATGTTAATTAGATAAGCTGTGTGGAATGTTTATATACCCCTTCTGCCCTACAATAAACGGCTCCCACTCCTGCTGTATCAATGTACACAAGTTGTTCATCACCCCCCAGTTATTTTGCTGCAGCCGGACTGCGGCAAACACAGTAAACTAAAGTGACTATATTAATATCACAACAGACTTCAGAATTAGGTAAGATTATAAAGATAATGAAAACAGATTATTTGTAATGATGGAAGAGTCAATTAGCCAGGCATGGTGGTGTATACATATCATACCAGAGACTGATGCTGAGGCGGTATGATCACAAGTGCAGAGCCAGCCTTAGCACCTTAGACTCTGTTTAAAAATAAAAACAACTTAGACTCTGTTTAAAAATAAAAAAAATTAAAAAAGGCTGGGAATGTGGCTTAGTGTTTAAGGGCCCCTGGGTTCAAACCCTAGTTTTGTTTTGTTTTGTTTAAAGAGTCAATTAATCAGAGGGACATGATTAGAGGACATGATTATATATTCTTTAATGTTTTATACACCCAATAACAAAACCTCAGAAACACAAAACTTATAGAACTATAAAGTAAAATAGACAAATTCACAACTACAATTAGATTGCAATATCACTTTCTTGATAATTGATTAAAAAAAAGGGTAGACAAAAATTAGTAGGATTATAATAGACCATCATTATCAACCAATATTACCTAATTAACATTCATAGTATAT